CATTATTAAGTTACAGTTGTCCTTGCAACCTTGTGTGTGTGCAATGTAGCCTCTATTTATGTGATTGGATACTATTTTCGTTATGCAAGATCCTTGCTTCACACCGTGCCCAGATTGGACAGCGATTGTATCAAATGAGGCAGGAGTCCTGTTGTAAAAATAATGTATGATTGTGAAATTAAAGGCTGTACTGTAATGAACATGTATGAAGTTAAGTTTGAACAGAAAAGCTGTGTGTGTGTGTGTGTGTGTGTGTGTGTGTGTGTGTGTTTCCAAGGAGAAACGTTCTTCCATTTTTATGATAGTTTTTATGAAAACACAGGTAATGGAGAAGACCTTGTAATAAAATGGTTAGTAGACATGGGGGAGAAGTGCTTAAACTGGTTACTTTTTATAGCAAAGTGTTTCCATATTCTTATGTCCTTATTAAGTTGCTTCATTTATAAGCCAGAGCTACAGTTAGTGTTTGGAGAGTTGCTTGTCTCCAGATAACCATAAAAAAACCCTTCACATACAGACAGCCTTCAATAAAAATGGAACTGTGTTCTTAGGAAGAAATGTAACATGTTCTAGCATTCCTTCACTTTCCTTAGCGGGAAATAAATCCCATTGACTAGTCAAGTATGTGAGATGTTTGCCTAAACTCTGTTGCCCTTACATATTGACTTTATTTGACAAATGGTGAAGGGGAAAAGAGTGCTTTTGACTCTCCCGGGAATCAGGGCTGCCAAATAAGTAAGCAAATTGTTCTTATGTCTATGTGTGTACCAGAAACAAGCAAACGTGAACATTCTTCAGAACAGGTGATATTCATAGAGTTTTGCTGCAAGCAATTCCTCATTCTGCCACTAAGCTAAAGAGTCTTAGGGGCAGCACTTTGTATCGAGCCTCCCAGGTCGGGTCAACAGATTCAGTCTGGTGGGGCTCATACTAATGCTTTAAAACTAGCTGTATAGACAGTGCTTTGAAGTTGCAGCTTGGGCTTTGAAGCCTATTGAGGGGGGTGGGCTTTGAAGGCTGAGCTTTGACTTCAAAACACTGTCTGTACAGCTAGTTTTAGAGTACTAGTGTGAGCCTCTCCACCCTATTTTGTCGACCCGAGCTGGGAGGTGTGCTCCAGAATGCCATGTAGACACGCACTTAAGGTATGTCAACACAGCGAACAAACATTCCCAGCTGTCCTGGATCAGCTGACTCAGGCTCATGGGGCTTAGGCAGTGGAGCTGTAAAATTGCTGTGTAGATGTTGGGACTCAGGCTGGACTCTGGGATTGTCCCCCCTTGTGAAGCCTCAGAGCTCAGGCTCCAGCCTGATCCTAAACATCTACACCACAATTTTAAAGCCCCGCAGCCTGAGCCCCATGAGCCCCAGTCAGCTGACCTGAGCCAGCCATGGGTGTTTAATTGCAGTGTGGACATACCTTGTCCGCTGGTCCTTGTTTCTTAGCAGTAAATCTGTTCCATAGCAGGCTTGTGTTACTTACAAAAAAATTCTATAACTTTTATTACTTGAAAGTCCAAAATATGGCCAATTTTGGAATTGTTACATGAATTTCAAGCATCTACATTTGAGTATTTTAATCCACCATTGATATATGTAATCAGGTGGAATTACTTCTCTGCTGTAAAAGAGAGTATATACAACACATATTGGAAACAGTCTTAAATTACTTTCTCCCTGGGGTCTGCCTATGTTTTCTTATATCAGAGGGGTAGCCGTGTTAGTCTGGATCTGTAAAAAGCAACAAAGAGTCCTGTGGCACCTTATAGACTAACAGATGTATTGGAGCATAAGCTTTCGTGGGTGAATCATGTTTTCTTGTCAAGCTTAGCTGTTCCTAGGGTTATCTCTGCATTGTCTCTTCTGACCTATCCTCTATTTCTTACTGTAGTCAGACCTACACACCATTTTATAGACCTGGAGCGGTCCTAACTCTACCCACCTATTCTCGCTGCTAGCATATGTCAGCAAAATAGCCCTGCATCTCTGTGCAGGCGCCTAGAGTTTCACATTCTTTCCAAGTATACAGCAGCCATTAACTAATGCTATTCTGGAATCCATATTGGTATGATCAGTTGTACTGGCTAAAAGATACACAAAAATAATTTAACTTTATCTCCTTTCTCTGACTTGGTTCTGTGTGAATAATCCATCATATTTTACTTTACCATCAAATAAACATGTTTTACAGTACTTCTATCTTTAACATATTATTTATATGGCATCAAGTGAGGTTGCTCAATGTTATACATGATGTCTGCTGGTCTGGCCTTGTTTTTTTATTTTTGTTTATTTTGAGCACCATAAAGGTTCATGGTATTGAACAGACACATAAGACGTAATTCTTGCCTTACAATCTAAGTGAGACAGCATGCAGATGAAAAAAGAGTAGAAAATGTTTGGATATGACACAAAATTGTGTAAATTGAGTTGTCATGTTATTCATAAAGACATCAAGGTGATTCGTACTTTAAGAATGTGAGAGAGACACACAATTTCAATCCTTAGGTATGTGTTACTTTTTTTGGTTTTGTCAGCTTATCTGTCTTTTTGTTCCCTAGGATATGTAAATTTAATTTAATTTTTCATTCAGTTTATTTGGTGGTGATGTTCCACCTTGAGTTTCAAGCATTAGGATTCTGGGCATACCTACACCTTGTGTTTACAGGAAATCTGTATTATACTAGTTGTGGGATTTTGTCTGCCTTTTCAATATGATCAAATTGCTGCAGCTGACAAATTGTCTTCTTTAATATAGACTAGTTATAATTCTTTTTTTTCTGGAGTCCAACTTGATTTACAGTATTTCTAAAATGCAACTTATTAAATATTTATGTAGTACTTTTCATCCACAGATTTTGAAGCCCATTACAAAGATAAGTAGGTGTTATTCCCATTTTACAGATGGAAGAACTTTGGCATAGTGAACTTAAAGGCTCTATTGTACAAACTTACTTGTGTTGCTGAGAACTTTCCTCATTGGATTAGTTTCATTAAATGTGGTGTAAAGGTTGTACAATGGAGCTCTAAGTGGTCTGCCCAAAGTCACATGGCGAGTCAATGACAGATCCATGAATGGTCTCTTAGCTCCTGGTCTGAGGCCATGTCTACATTATGGGCGCTGCAGGAGTATAGCTACGATGACCTGGCTATGATGCTGTAACCTCATAGTGTAGACGCAGACTTCGGTGACGGAAGGGGTTTTTCCATTGTTGTAGGAACACCACCTCCCCAAGCAATGGTAGCAGTGCTTAATGTGTGCCAGAGCTTGCCAGGCTGAGCCCCGGCACCTCTGGGCTTGGCAGTTCATAGTTCCGGCACCTCTGGGCTTGCTGTGTTAGTTATGAAAGTAAAAAAAAATAGCTTGAGCCGCAGTACCTCTTTCATTACAAATTAAACACTGAATGGTAGCTAGGTTGAAAGAAACATTCTTCCATCGACTTAGCTGCTTCTACATCAGGAGTTAGGTCGACATAGCTTTGGTACCCAGGGGTGTGGATTTTTCTCACATCTTGGTTCTGTAGCTGTGGTGACCTAAGGTTTAAGCATAGACCAGGCCTGATACCCTATGCCACTGCACACTCTGCCTCCATTTAGAATGCAGCTGTCTAATAGGCATACAAGAGGGTGCAACATATTACTCAACAACAGAAGTCTTATTGTTGGACCCCAGTTAAATTCTGCATTGATTTTTAAATACTTTTGATTTTTAGGCTCTTAATGAGTAGCTCCATCATATATGACTCAGCTTCTTCTCCCATATATTCCCATCAGATCACTTCAGTTCAAAATAGCTGGCTGTTTAATTGGCCCTGAATATAATCTTGAAACAGCAGTAGCTAGAACATTTTGTATCTATATCCCTTGGCGATGGAATGCACTTCTTGCTATTATTCATAATTCTCATTCTGTTAGAATTTAAAAGTAGTTTAAAGAATTGTTTTCTGTTTGCTTTAATTGTTCTTGATCACTGACAATTACAGCTATAATTTTCAAAGGAGCCTAAAGGAGGTAGGTGCCCAATTCGCATTGAATTGTAATGGGAGTTGGGTGCCTAACTCCTTTAGTCTCCTTTGAAAATCCCTGTCTACATTGCTACTGTTTGTTTTACAGTGCTTGGTGTACTCTTTAGCAGTGCTTATAATTAGAGCTGAGTGAATAAAGGGTTAATAACTGTCCATTCCAAAAAAAAAAATTAAAAATGTTTGGTTTGGGTGAAACCAAAACTGACTTTATAACTTTTTGGTGAATGGAAAAGTAGAAAAAAAAATAATGTAAACTGAATGATTTGCTAATGTCAAAATGAATCATTTGTTTCTATCCAAAAAGTTCTGTTTTGATTTTTCAGGCATTTTGACAAAAGGAAAGGAGGACTAGATTTACAAAACTGAGGAGGAGGTGGTCATGGTGCCTTCCTCGCCAATGGTTAGGACACTGACCTGCGATTGGGGGGTGGGGGGGATCTAGGTTCAGTCCTCTCTCTGTGATGTGGAGAACAAGATTTGAACTTGGATCTGCCAGGTTACAGAGAGTGATGTTGCCATTGGGCTATGGCATATTCTGGTTATGGGGCTTTCTCCATCTCTTCTCTAAAGCTGTTCCACTTTGTATAAATAACGACAGTTACTAGAGCAGGGCTTGAACTTGGGCATCCCACATCCTCAGTAGGTGCCCTACCAAGCAGGCTATAGAGTCATTCTCTCTCTCTCTTGCTGGCCCAGTGACAGTGGATAGTAATTGGGTTAATTTCAACATTACTGAAACATTTAGACTTTTTCAGTTCGATCAAAACTACTTAGTGAAATTGACACAAATACATAAATAGTTCCGGTCAACCCCAAAGTGCTTTTTTCAGCAAGTAAACTCTTTGTCCCAAAAATTTCACCCAGCTCAATTTATAATTTATGTATCGTTTTATTATATAGAGAGTGTAAACTCCAATGATATTACCAAAGTCTAGATAAACAGTAACTTTTCTCCTTCTACCTTTATATGTAAAGCTCCACCTGAATTTCTGAAGCAGCCTGCTAATATTTATGCTCATGAATCTATGGATATTGTCTTTGAGTGTGAAGTGACTGGGAAACCAACTCCAACAGTGAAATGGATCAAGAATGGAGACATGGTGATCCCTAGTGACTACTTCAAAATTGTAGTAAGGACATTTTCATTTTCAGTCATTTCAAACTGTTGACCTGTACCTTAATCCTCCTATGTACGGTAACTCCTTGCTTAACGTTTTAGTTATGTTCCTGAAAAATGCTACTTTAAGAGAAATGATGTTAAGCGAATCCATTTTCCCCATAAGAATTAATCTAAATGGGGGGGGGGGTTAGGTTCCAGGGAAAAAAATTTCATCAGACAAAAGACATTATATACATATACAGTATAAGTTTTAAATAATTTTAAACAAACTATTTAATACTGTACTCACCAATGTTGATTGTGAAGGTTGCTTGAGGCAGGGCATAGTGAAGTTGGGGCACAGGGGCTTGCCCCACTCCACGCTCCTGCCGGGGAGTGGGGTCGGGAGCTTGCCTGCTCCCCGGCTGGAATGCAGGGCAGGCGGAATGGGATACGCCCCTGCACCTCAATCCCGCTCCCTGGCTGGAACGCCGGGCAGATGGGTGGAGCGGGACGAGCTAAACAACCTTATAACGGAACGTTGCACGACTTTAAACGAGTATGTTCTCTAATAGATCAGCAACCAAATAACGAAACAATGTTAACCGGGACGACTTTAAGTGAGGAGTTACTGTATGTACATATAAGCTATGCTGTTTTATAGGGTCAGCTGCCTATTTTTACAGTGTGTGGTTAAGGTCCAGAAACATTAAATGGCTCCTTGAATCCTTTATTGCTGTGTAATCCAGTGTGAAGCATTTTATTGAAGAGCATAGACACTGTGTTCCTTACACTATAAAAGTCTGTTTCTTTATAGCATACATCTTTTACGTGAGACATACACAGTAATGAATTAATTGGAGAAAGACAATCTATCAGTTTGAATTTGAACAGCCTCAGTCCTTCTCATACAGTAGAAAACTGCCAAGTCATGAGGTATATGTGACCATAGATTGCTTGAGTTTTGTATAGTCATTTTGGCTGCACAAGAATTAAAATCGCAAACAAAGATGTACCATAGAGATTTACTCATGATATAATCCTGAGTTTTGGCTGAGCAAACCTTAAAGTCTAATTCTGTACGGTTGAATGAAATTCATTAGTGAGATATGTATCTTAAAGGTTTAATCGGAGGCTACAAGACTGTGTAGGTAAGAACTTGATTTCCAAGTGTGCAGTCTGTCTTTTACAATCATTTTTAGTTTTACTAACATAATTATTTGACACATGATTGTATACATGCCTATGCTTAACTTCTGAATGTTAGGATCAGGTTATGATTTCCATAGCCTATTAACAATAGTTTTGTTCTGATTTTTGGTGCAGCCATTTGAAAATTCAAAGTAAAAGATACTTTACCTGGGACAGGCTCATGGTTGTCATAATAGCCATAATATGTGGGCATTTTCTCAGAAAGTCATAGTAACCATTTAAAAACTAATGTGCTTGCATTTATAGTTCATTTTTAATGAATGCATCATGAAATGTTTTGCCTTTTCCCCCCCAGAAGGAGCATAACCTGCAGGTTTTGGGTCTTGTGAAATCAGATGAAGGATTCTATCAGTGCATTGCAGAAAATGATGTTGGAAATGCACAGGCTGGAGCCCAGCTGATAATACTTGAACATGGTAAGATAAACTGGGAAAACATGGTGCCAGAAGGTGGGGAAAAGCAGTTTCAAGGGGCTTTTTCTGCATGAGGCATTACGTCCACAACTCAGCTAAACCAGAAAGCCTTTTTAAAGCATGAGTCATTGAGTTAAGTGTTTTTACTGTACATTAATAGTTTTTTATAGGAAAAGAATGAGTAAGCCCCAAACCATTCCCCTTTAATATGGAGAATGTACTATGTTATCCTGGAATGTTTATTTAAAAAAAACAACAAAACACAACAGAGCCAGACTAAGATAGTACTAGGGCACAGCTAGATAAAAATATAATGGCTATAGCTGAATTGAAACTGATTAATGGGATTACAGAAGTGAAAAATGAGCAGTCATGGAACTTTATACAAGTGAATTAGTTCAGACAAAATTCATTTCAATTTCAGAAGCTATTCTCCCCTGTCAGAATTTATTTGTTTAAAGTAATCTCCATCACGTATGTAAACTGATAAAAGAATTCTTTAAAAGAACATTTGTGGAGTAAGATAAATATTTGTTATCATGCCCTAATCAGAGAAATCATTAATAACATTCACATCCTTACCATTTAAACATATAATGTCCCATATTACATATTTTAGGTATTAAGGGAGCATAACTACTGTCATGATAGTAGAAATACTCACTAAGAGAAACACCGAATAGTACAAATAACATCCTAGGGCATCATCTTGGATAACTCTTCCAGCCTCAGGTCACAAAACTTTTGGTAATCAGTCTTAGGAGGGTAGGGGAGACAACTGATATGAAGGCAAAGGAAGACATCAGGCAAGAGAGCATTCATTTCATACTATTATTTGACTTTTGCCTGTCCGATCCTGGTCTTGTTTTAGAAGTAAGAATTCTTGGTTATGTCAAGGAAGGTACCTGCTATGCATTCTGTTGTCCGCAGAAAAGGATTCCTTTGGGTTCAGAAAAATTAAAGAAGAGACATTGTTCAGATAGGACCATAGACATGGTATGACTGCACTTGCAATACTAGCAGAAATAGAACAGCTAGACATGATTTTGGGTGTTCAGTATACAGAGAATATACTGTACAATGTGGGTATGTTTCAGTGCTGGTTGAAGTCATTTCTGTATTTTACAAAATTTGCTATATATTTTGGAGCGAAAGATGCCCCTGCTGGATTCAACTGCTTTAGTGCTATAAACTATGGTATTTCCCCATCTGTCCAGTGTTAGGAAGCTGGATCCAACAATGGTTTATTACTATCTGTGTGTCTAGGGAACAAAATTAAAAGTAATCTTATCTCTTCTTGAGGGATTCTGATGACTACACAGGTCAGATCGAGAAGTTCTCAAAAGCTGGGAAATGGAAGGATAACTCCATATTTTCATTATTTTTTTTTAAATGTTGAATAATTCATGTATCTGAGTTCTAGATTCAGGCCCTGCCCAGGCTTGTACGTCCTCCCAGCTCCCAAGAGTTTTGCTTTCCTCCTTCTCTTTCAACTTTAACTCCCTGGTGTCACTCCTCTGCTGCTTGTTTCCTCCTCCGACTGTTTCACCTCCTATCCTGCTCCAGCCATCTCTCCTGTTACAATAGAGGACTTTGCCTTACAACTCTGTCCTTTCTTTTGCATGCTGCCAGAGGATTATGGGAGCAGTATTGGTGGATTCTCATAACAGGTGTAACAGTACACCTATGAAATTATATTTTTCTGTTATGTGGCCTGCAATGTTTTTAACATTGCACTCCATGTGTAACACCTATATGTCCTAAATACTGCTCTTTGTTGACATATAATCACAAGGTTGACAGCATAATGTACATTTAATTTTTCTTCATTGCGAATGATGGCTTAACGAGTGGTGGAGCAAAGTCATGAGTGAGCTGTGCATATTAAGTTCTAACTCATGAAAAGTGGTGTGTGTGCTGCCTGCCATCACATTTATACACAGAGAGATAATATCGAAATAAGCTATTAAAGCTGTATACTATCTCAGATAAAATGAAAGGCAAGGAGGAAGTAAACTTTCAGGAATGGGAGTGTATGGATGTCTTAAAGTACATGAAGATAGTGACCTGGTAATAATCTTTGTTTTGGTGTGCAAATTAAAATATATATATTTTACACTTAAAGGTTTTTGGGTTTTTTGGCATGCTAACTCAAACAGCTGTTTTATAAATCTTCAGACTTGGCTCCTGGTGATGAGAAATATTGGCTTTGTGAAGTTTGAAAAATCAAATAAAAATGTACAACTGGCAAAAAATTGCTTACTGTCTGTGCATGGTTTTCTTACCTATTGAAAGTGCATACCTAAGTCAATTTCCTTCCCTTCCCAATCTCTGTTTCTTCTGTCTTCTAAAGGTGACATTGGAAAGTTCCTGGCTGGGTTGGCAAGCCTTTCTAGGAGGCTTCCTTTTCCAGTAGGCTTATAATTTCAAATCCTTTCTTAAAAAAGGATTAAAATGAGAAGTTAGAGGCCATATGAAGCAGTTATGGAAAGGGCATTCCATGTTTACAGACCAGTGCTTGAGAAATGGACAAACCGATACTACTGTGATGAGAGTCATAGGAACCTGAATACAATAAGGCATCAATAGTGTCAGTTTTGGCACGAAGTGGGATGTGGAAAACATAAGAAATTAGCTTGGCTAAGTGGGAAAGGCAGAATTATGCAGGACCTTGAAGGTGAGGATGAGAAGTCTTTGGTATTGAGAGAGGTTAAATAGGAGTACGGCTGACCACTTCCTTACCATTCATTATTTTGTGCTGCATGTCAGCTCTTAGTCACTGCCTCTTTAACCTAATAGTCTCTGGGCTTGTCTACACTTACTGGGGGATCGACGCACGGTGATTGATGCATCGGCAGTCAATTTAGCGGGTCTAGACCCTCTAAATCAACTGCAGATCGCTCTCCCATCGACTCCTGTACTTGACCTGAATGAGAAGCACAAAGGGAGTCAACAGGAGAGCGTCTCCCATCAACATAGCATAGTGTGGACCCCGCGGTAAGTAGATCTACTTAGATTGATCTCCCCCTGTAGTGTAGACAAGGCCTTAATCTTTCTAAACTCTTTGTATGGAAGTCTTTCTTGGTGTTTGTTTTTTGTTGTCTTCCTCTAGATCTTTCCAATTTTGGTCATGTCCTTGCAGAAGTGGGCTGGCCCGGCTGGGGAATGATTTCAAATTGAAATATATTGTGCTCTTGTGTTTTCTGCTGTAGATGTAATAAACATCTGTATAATATATGATAATCAGCCATAGAATAAGTCTTCATTTTCTGTGCATGTACAGTAATTTCACACTCCACAGACGCAATTCAGTGATTTGCTGCAGTTCACTGCACACTAACAATTATAGTACACTAGAAAACTGTATATAAAACAGATTTCAAATTACAGAAATTAGATATTTTGCTTTGATAACATCACCCTTTGTGGATGAGATTTTGTTTCTTTGCGTTAACAAGAAATTCTGAAAAACTTGTGGCTGAGGACAAGCTATGTGTGGCAGAGACCTTGAAACAAATAGTGGGTGATTTAAAGGGGAAACAAGCTGTTAATATTTTTGGAGGGGAGGAGTCGCTGGTGCCATACTAGCTGTTTGAAAGGAGGGCTGATGGGAAACAGGGGTGGCCTGGTGTAGCGTGGTGAACACCCGCTCCATCCTGGAAGGGGTTGGAAAAGCCCTGCAGAGGGCTGGGGCTGGGCAAGGGAGTAAAACCCCGGCTGATTGGGGGAAGTGGCTGCAGCTGGGGCCACGCCCCAAACTGAGCAACTAGGCCTTATAAGAAGGCCAGGGCAGCCAGAAGCTCAGGAGTCTCACTCTGACTTGAGAGGGAGACAGGCCTGGTTGCTGGGGAACTCACCCAGGGGACCTAGAGGGAGTCAGGGCTGGGGAAAGGCCTTAGGAGCTGGGAAGCCCTAGGCAGCAACTCCCCAGGCTGCAGGGCCTAGTTCTAGGCCTCCTAGGTATTGGGCTTGCAGTGGGGCAGCCAGAGGGTCGGTAAAGGCAGCCAGTCCAAACCCCTTGTTGCCTGTGATGATCGGCTGATAGACTGCAGTCTGCCCCAGGGCGCAGGGGCTAAACAGAGACTGGCAGTAGCCACGACTGAGGCGACGTGGGGATAAGGGGTGGGGGATTCCCCTGGGGTGGGGAAACCCAGTAAGACTGTGGGGAAACCCAGTAAGACTGTGGGGTACTGCAGGAGGCAGAACCCTGAGATAAGGGCACCAGGGTCCTGGGAGGGACACGGGGGGCCAACGGCAAGCAGATCACCGGCCTGCAGAGGGCGCTCCTGGGTCGAAGAGCTAATTCCTGAGGACGACCAGCAGGAGGCGCCGCAGGGGTGAGTCTGCGCTGTGCTACACCTGGCTAGACAACAGGGTGGCCTGGCTAGACACAGCTCATAGTGCTGTTCCTCTCCAGCAGTACTTTCAAAGGACTGCTCTTCTGCAGGGAGCAGAGAATTGAGGGCAGCTCTGCCTGTAGGGGTCAGGACCTGGAAATGTCAGAGGCCAGGCAGGATGGTCTGGGTACTATTCTTCCTACCCTACCAGTATCTCCCCTTCACTTCCCTAGACTGCAGCATTCAGCATGTGGGTTGTGCATAACTCTCCCTCTCCCCCCAGTGCAAATATTTTAAGTTCCTCCTCTCTCTCCTGTATTTATGGGGATGCCTGCTTCCTAAGTTATCGCAAGTGATTGTGGAGTATGGCTCTGGTGCCCATCTGCCACACCTGACCCCCACTGTATGCAGGCTTTTAGGGATGTAGCTGTTGTCATAAATACTACCCTCATCTTCACCCGAGGTCTGATGCTACTCTCATTGCCTCCTGGTTCAACAGCTGAAGTACTTCTTCCTGCTTCCCTTTTAATGCTGCCATGAAGGGACCCCTGGAAGAGCTCTTTCAGACATCGTATCAGGAAGGAAGAGTCTCATTCTAGTCTCAGGAGAGGGCTCCCAGGAGTCTTTAGATCCCTCCCCAAAAGCTTTTTTTAAAATGTTCATTTT